GCCCCCCCCCCGCCCCCCCCCCACCCCCCCACCCCCCCCCCCATCACCACACCCTTAGGGCATCATGACGCAGTTGCAAGCCTCTCCTTCTGAATCATTCAACTGCAGTTTCTCAAACACCTTGAAGGATCCAGGTCATCCAATGATCGAACTGCAGTTTTTCTACACCTCCAACCATAGTTTTCTCTTGCAAGGTAATAATGGGGATGGTGCAACACAAACACATACTGGCAATTAAGCAGCAGTTCTGTTTCTTAGTATAAGGGGGATCTAGTGTTCTCATAATGCCTTCCTTGTTCCTTAATGATATATGATGCATGTACGCTTCCAAATGGGTAAAGTAACTGTCGTATACTTCAAAAATGCTGTCATATGTGGATCGTCGTTGGTAACGCCCTGGCTTCCACCAGAGATTTCTTTTAGCCTTATAGGTTTCTCTTAAGCCTAATAAGTTACAACAAGGATAACATCCAGGAATACATTTAACAGGAAGTACAAATTCAAACAAAAGTTCCAAAAAGTTGCTAGCAGGAACTTGGATGGTCTAGTCAAATGATGATATACCCATGGAGGTTATGGCAAGTGATCAAAGAAATTTTGTCTTGGCCACCAACGTAAATGGCATTCCACTGTTCACGGATGGAGTATAGTAAAGCTGCAATTTGTTTAGCTAGACAAAGCGTTTGAAGCATAGTTACCAGGACTGCCCATGTAACGGTCCACTCTCGATCCCGCACTCCGAGTGACCGGATCTCGATTCCAGATGCTTCCTTGCGTATTTGGATCTCGTACCTGGAGTTATGGGAACTTGATTCTTCTTATTTGGGAAAGAGTTCCCTAGCAAGTGGGATGCAGATCTGCATGCCCAAAATCATGGCTCCAATGTCATTCGGAACCACGATTCTATCATAACCAGATCTGATATTCTCATTACCATCCCGGAAACCTTTCATAGCCATTCCAATAAGAAGTATAACTGGCATATTCTTCCTCTCTTTCTTTTGATAGTGTCTCCAATAATTCTACTGCTTCCTCTTTGTTATATATGATACGCCAAATAATATGAAGTCAAATGTGTCCACATCTGTGATGTAGCCATTACATTTATATTATTCACTCATGGAGAAATTATAAATGATTCTTGGTGTCAGTCATCACTTGCAAACTAGAGTTTTATTATGTGTACTTGTCTCAGAACATATTTACAGAGGTTTTTGTAGCCAATAGTTCCCTTGGATTTTAGAGCCCACTCTTTAAAGAACAACCCGTTGCTCAAATTCATATTCCCACAAGTCTGGCTTTCATGCATTGCCAGACTGTCACAGAATGTCCTATCCCCTAGTCTCATTGACCTCCCACAACTAAAATAGGTCCCTCACTATACGCTTAAGTAATTTTGTTCATTCTCTTTAATTTTTTTATTTTTTTGGAAGCAGTTTCATTTTAAAGTAACACCTCTGTTCATCTTTAAATAAATTTCAACCAAATGACGGGGCATCATATTCCCCTTCTCCTATGAGCATAAGTCATCATGCACAATATAAATAGATGGTAAAAAAAACTACAAATAGGAAATTATACAAGCAATAATAGGTGCACAGAATGAATGAAAAGAAATCCATAAATGTTTAGAAGAAAGAATGCTGTTAGACCCACCTGGATATTAGGAGCAAGCAGACTGGGCAGGTCAGTAAAAAACAATACCATTCTCCCAATCTCTTGTTTCAGTAAAACTCTCCTTTCATGATGTATGGCATCGCAAGACACTAAAGCTTGGTCTTGCACATCACTGCAATCATCCAAACACATATAATGCATTTAGGAGAAAGAGAACCTATAGAGCATGTCTTTAGATTACAAATAACTTCAAGTCATGCAAACTTCCAATGAAATGTAAAATAAATCAAGGATGCGCCCACTAGAAAGTAAAAGACAGCAATAAAGAAACTGTGCTACATGCTTATAAGCAGAATGATTACAATTTCATCAATAAGTAGAAGTTTCCTTTCCATCATTGCGATGTTACCTTAGCATCTCTTTGATATCTCCTTTTCATTCTTATAATGATCTTTCAATACTAATAGAAGTACAGATACAATCATTAAAGTAGAAAAAGGCTAGAACCAAAAAATAAGATGGAACAAATTATTAAGATTCATAAGTACATTTTTCCAAGAAGAAAATCAACTGATATACAAAGGATAAGGGTAAATAAGCTTAAAAATAAAACTTACTCCAGATGAGTTCATACATGACAGAGACAGATACATAGTGATTCTTTGATGTAAGTTATGATAAGAAGCTACTTCGTTTAAAAGTTAACTCATTACTTACATAAAGGAATCATCACAAGTATCTCTAATGAGCCAAACTCCTTGATATACTTTTCTGACAAGGCTAGTGAGATGAATTTCTTGCCATGTAACATGTATGGACATGTGTCATCATTTTTCCAGGTATGAGTTACAATCTTTGAGTTACAAGATATTCTAAGGGGCCTACTTATAATGTAGTTTCCTCATCATTTTCAAAAAAGACGATTACAAAGATAGATCACATCAAAATCTATTTCATCATAAAATCAGATAAATGAAATTCTCTTGCACATTTGTGACTTGCTATTAAAGATGGCATATTACCCCTTGACGGCATTTCTGTAGATCTGAATATATTTTACATGTGATGTACTATTGAAATGTATTAGTGGTAAGAGTGAAACTTCATTTACAACCCTAAAGTGTGTAATCCTTATACAAAAGAAATATCATGAATATGTGGAGTGTGTAGCATGCATTCCTCACTTCTTCGTTTCCCTGTGTTCCTCCTTCGTGGAAGGCTTGTGGAAGGTGCTATTTCATGTTTCCTTTCATTGCATGAGAGCAGGTTCAAAGATCTTCTCAACATAATCATACCCAATCAAGATAACCCATAATCACTCCTCTTCTTCACCTCTTTATATTTCCCACTCTCTATCTCTGCTTCTCCTCTTTCTTCAAACCCTAATCTATCTGCCTACTCATCTTCTTCGCTCATTTTTTTCTCTCCATTTAAACCTGAAATATCCTAAATTGAAAATTATTTCCCCATCTCTAAACCCTATTCTCTCTATCTTAATCTCAAAATTCTTTCTTCATCCTCAACTCTATCCTGAAAAAATAAAAAAATATTTCTTTAAACCCTAATATCCTAAATTGAAATTATTTCCCCATCTCTAAACCCTATTCTCTCTATCTTAATCTCAAAATTCTTTCTTCATCCTCAACTCTATCCTGAAAAAATAAAAAAATATTTCTACTTTTCTTTAAAAAAATATCAGCTTCCTTCAGATCTTATTGCAATATCGTCCTCCTCCCGACAAACTACTCCCTCTAGTGAACCTCGCTCACTTCAATACTGCCATATATCCTAAGCATTAAACTTGACTCCTCGAATTTCCTACATGGGTCAAATTGCCCCTTTTCTTGATGGTTTGCAAGTTATGGGGCATCTTGATGGCTCCCTTTTCTTGATGGTTTACAAGCTATGGGGCACCTTCATGAGTCTGATCATGAACCTCCCAAATTTATAGAACAAAAATATGTAAAGAAGGAACTGGAGAGAAGATGTGTGTCTCAAACCCAGTATGCAAGAGTGGTATGCAGTTGATCAGGCACTTATAGATTGATTGACTGCAACTCTTACGCTAGAAGTTTGGACATAAATATTAGGCATCTCAACTGCCAAGGAGGTTGGGGACATTAAGCATTCGCTCTATGCCCAACTTTCAAGTCAATATTAATGCATCTGCGACGAGAACTGGTGAAATGAGAAATAGGTAATTTTATTTATAGCATTAGAAAACATTTCACTAAGGTAAAAGCATTTGTGATAAGTTCACGGCATAGTTGCTGGAACCTTGTAGGAAAGGTCACGGACTCACACCAGAACCTCGATTCCAAGGTTCCAGCTAGGAATCTTGGATGGAATGCGGATCCCTATATTGTGATTGGCGTTCCCAGCACGTTCAAACCGCGGTTCTCAAGTGTATGACACAATGCGTATGATTTTTTCTCTACTTGGCACTGATTCATATGCAGTGATTCAAGTTTGTGCCCACTGGTACTGTGAACCCATGCATCATTCTTGATCCCTTAGAACATACTATTGTGATTCCTTCCCCATGGAATCGTGCATCCCTATGACAAGGATCGCGCTCCCTTGATATAGGATCGTACGGATGACGATCCCAACCACAAGCTTCCAACAATCCACGGTTCAATAGACTCGAGCCCCTTCCTGCTCTCGGGAACACACCCGCACCCGACGACTATGGTTAACAGCCATTGCCCAGATAGTCTCAGATGAAGAAAGTTAGCTTATATACATTAAGGATTGGAGATGAATATAATATGTTTGTGACATCTGGTTTAGCCAAGCCACCAATCCTTTCATTCCATGAGCTTAGACCTCTTCTATTACAACATGAATCAATGTTCAAAATGAATGGAAGCAGAAGTAGAGACAAGAATGAGGACCATAGTCCTGATGTTTTGCATATTTCCTCTTCCTTCTTCAATTCAGATTGTGGCCATGGACAAGGAAGACAAAACCGTGGTCAAGAAAGGAACTTCACATTGTATGGCGAATATCAAGGTCAAAGATTTCAATGACAACAAAATGGGCAACAGGGACAATCACATGGAGATGGATGTCAGGAGGCCCAAGCGACACATATCAAGGTCAGGGCAGCAGTCCAATGACTTCTATGTTTATCAGCTTTGCAGAAAGAAGAATCACACCGTTGTTTGTTATCACCAATATACCCAAACCTTTAGAATGCAGCCCTATAACATTTTATAGCTAAAATGAACATATCACGGTCAAAAGTGACTCCCAACAATGTATCATGGATCATAGATACTAGAGCTGCCAACCACGAAACCTTAGAGGCAGGTAACTTCTCGTCTTTAATTCAATATTGCCAGAAAAGGTAAAGTTATAATAAGAGATGATAAAGCCATTTTGTCCATTCAATCAGGCTCTTTTTCTTTCCAAAACGCCTTCCTAGATCCATAAATTAAAAGGAGCCCCATTTCTATGTCTTAGTCAGCAAATTAAATACAATTTTACTTTGTTTGCGCTCCTTAAGGATATTTACTTAGTGAAAACTTGGTGAGAGAACCAGAAGTTGAAACATATACTTTATTGTGGGGTTACAATCGAAGTGTTTGAAAAGAGGTCCTCTTAGCCGAAGTCATGTCCCTGTTGAAGTCTCTTCATTTGCAGGTCTATTTGGCAAGCCAAAAACCGACTCGGATGAACGAATTGACGATCCAGATCAGTGGATCAGTCAAATTGGTTGGATTCAGCCTTGAAAATTTTCAAAATATACTAGAAGTCACTATATGGGAAAGAAAGGAAACCCTAGTTCCTTTGTAACAAGATGAGAAAAAGGAAGCTTTAGGGAAGGCTCTAAGTTTTCTTATTGGTAAAGAGAGACAACAGATTATGAGAACTTTCTTTTGTTGGACTGGTGAAGAAAGGGAAGAAAATTTTTGGGAGCTTAAGCCCATATGAAGGAGACAAAGATTTAGAGTGAGGGAAGAAATAAATTGAGAGAACGAACAAAAAAAGGTTTAACAAAAAAGAAGGGTATTCTAATTAGAGATTAACTGGCATGATAATCTCAGCCAGAATCAAGAACAAGAAGGGGAAGAGGGGTTCTCCATGTTTCAAACCTTTCAAACTAGGGAAAGATTCTTTACAGACTCCATTGAGCAACACATAAAAATGTGCAGTGGACAAGCAACTTAAAATCCACTTCATTTTACCCCAAACTCTATGAGCTTCATACCATCACCTAAAACTGCCTAATCCATTCAAACACAAGCCCCTCCAAGCCCACTTTGCATATCACTCCTGGGATCTGATGTTTGTGTTTGGAGTCTATGCAACCTTGTGCTACTAAGAAACACCGTCAAGTATTTGACTATCCTTTTGTTTTGAGTAAGTCATTGGGGGAGATACCCGCTTTTCATTAATAAATGAGAACAAGAGAACAATTATCGTACAACTCCATAGTAGGGCAGTTGCACCAGATCATGTAATAAAAGAGAAGAAAGAAAATTTGGTGGTCGACGGTGCCACACAGTAGCACCGAGGACAGCAGATGCTCTCTCGGCGAGGGCATCAGCAACCATATTTGCCTCCTGAAAAACATGTGTAATGGACCATCGATGAGTAAAAAGTTTGGTATGGCAATTATCTGCAATCGTTTGTAGCCGCCATGGAGCACGACATCAATTCTGAATGACATCCACAACTAGGGTAGAATCACTTTCTATCTGTACTGGAAAGCAATTCCTCTTATGAACCATCTGCACTCCTTCAAGGGCCTTATTAGAAGAAAAACCAAATTTCTTCGAAAAAGCAGCAACGAAACCACCCTATCTGCTCCTGATGACTCCACCACCACCTGCTACACCTGGATTTCCCAAAGAAGCACCGTTAATATTGAGCTTGTAATTCTGAGCCTCAGGAAATCACCACGCCACTGGAATAAGGGTTTCTGACTTCTGTTGATGCCAAGTTATCTGAAGATTACCGATGATGGCCTTTTCTGATAAGTAGAAAGACCACTTTTTAACAGCTGCTAATGCTTGAACATGTAAGGTAATTTGTTTCACAATGTGCTCTCTCTTGGTGGATCTTTGACTCAAAGACTCTCCTGTTGCGCTTCTCCTATAGAAACCAAATACTAGTAAAAAAGATGGAATGCCAGATATTACGGAGTCCATGAGATTTAAACTT